ATGAAGAAAAAGGCAAAGGCTTAAAAGGCAAAGTCAAATGCATTCTTCTCAAAAACTACTCAAGCTGGGAGAAAATTGTTTTTTTCTTAGTTTAAGGAACAAATTTAAAATATGAATATTTTATTAGATTTTTTAAGAAACGTCATTGTTTTCACTATTTTCAATTTTTAGCGGCATATTAAGAAAAGTCCATATTTAGGCAAGTATTGGACTGCAAGAAATAATAGTGGCGATATTCAGGAACAAACAAACCATTGCCACATTTGCAGCTTTAAGCAGATATTAGTTATTTTCCATTCCAACCCATGCTAACTAAACGGCCCTGAAGTAGTCGGCCATTCGAGAGCGCTGCACAGAGGTTGCTCAATATATTCTTTGTTTCAAATTCTAACTAGCTAACAATTAACAAACACATTCATAACGTATAAATGCGTAAATTGCTATATACATATATTTATATGCAGTTAATTAAATATTTTCATATTTAACGAAACAATTTTCCCTATTTTCAAATGGGGCAACCATTTCGGAGGAATATAATAATTTGAAGTACGGAACGGTTCTCATCCGGGAAGCTAACAGAAAGTTGAACAAATCTTCGTTTTGTCGCTTTTCTTATGAACTATAGGTGTTAGTCATTTGGTGGGAAAGCTTTTCTTGCATAGTTTTCAAAAACGCTTCGATTGCATCTCTATTTCATGATGCAAAAGCTTTAAAAAATCGATAGCAGGAAAATTCCATTATTCTACGTTTAATTGTTCTAGGTTTTTACTTGCCGTTGCCCTGGCGTTTTGGCTATAATTACGATCCGATCTAATTCATATTCAGATATGGGCATTTTCTACGATACTGCGTTTTTAGTTCTCCTGCTGGTCTTGTCTTACCACGAGTGATACTTGCGCGTCGTTCAGGGCTCCCAGTCTTCGTGCTAGTTTGTAGTCCCGCCCGCTGGTAATTATAATTACGATCCGATCTAAATCATATTCAGATATGGGCATTTTCTACGATACTGCGTTTTTAGTTCTATCATATCTTTAAAATTGTGCCTGCCGCAGATAATCGTCCTTCGAAGGGTCGGAAGGGGGTGGGGCGAAATTTTGAAATACACTTGTAGCAGTGCATTAGTCCGGAAACAATATTTGGTTGCTCTAGCTCTTATAGTCTCTGAGATCTAGGCGCTCATCAAGACGGACAGAAAGACATATAACACTAGTCAACACGATTTTTCCTCAAGGAACAAAACGAACTTTTTCTTAAAAATTTGGGGCTTAGAAATGGTTTGATGATAATTTTTTTTTTTTCTATGGCAGAACGTTTTTTTGAAAATTTTTTGAAAACTGGTATTTTTTTTATGCTTTTTTCAGAGGTAGCGCTTGTTTTTTTCACATAGCTCTAGAATCTTACGTCTGGTTGTAAAGAACTTTGCTATTTTGAAAAGATAATTAAAACAGCTAGAAGTTAAGCCCAAATACTTTGTGATTTCAGCTTACCGTCTGGGAAATATAAAGCATTGAAATGCAAAAATTATGATTTTTGTGCAGTATTTTTTACGAAATTTTGACTTTAAAAACTCAGGAAAAGTCGAAAAAATTATATCCTGTGTCCTCTATTTTTTTGTGTATAGGTGCATTAATTTGGCGTCGTTCAAGGTATCGCTCATTAAAATCTATGAAGAGACTTTGGAGCTAAAAGTTAACTAAACCTAAAATATGAAAAAAATGAACAAAAAATACCTTTTGGAAGGTTGCGGGCCCAACTGCCAATTGGGAACAAAGCAAACGAGCAAGGGTTGTACATTTGGTACCTGATCGCGATCCCAATTCCCAATGGGCAGTTTCCTGAGTTTTTAAAGTCAAAATTTCGTAAAAAATACTGCAAAAAAAACATTATTTTTGCATTTCAATGCTTTATATTTCCCTAACGGTAAGCTGAAATCACAAAGTATTTGGGCTTAACTTCTAGCTGTTTTAATTATCTTTTCAAAATAGCAAAGTTCTTTACAACCAGACGTAAGATTCTAGAGCTATGTGAAAAAAACAAGCGCTACCTCTGAAAAAAGCATAAAAAAAAATACCAGTTTTAAAAAATTCTTCAAAAAAAAGTTCTGCCATAGAAAAAAAACCATAATTCTTTAAAAAATTTTAAATCCCCATATCTATCAGAAAAAGTCGGTTTGGATCCTTGAGGAAAAAAAAAGTTCGATTTTGTCGAGTAGTGTAATCGGCTATTGATGCTGATCAATAATACACTCTGCGTTACACACATCCACTTTTACCACAAATCTAATATACCCCTTAACTCTTTTTGAGTACGGCTGTAAAAATTTAATCTATCGGAAAAAGTCTGTTCTGTTCAAAGAGAAAATAAAAAGTTAAATTTTGTTGAGTATTGTAATTTTTTGTAATTTATTGTAAATGTACAATGAAGTTTCTTGAACACATACATTTGCAAATAAAGAATCCGAATTACCTCATGACCTAATACCAATAATATTAATCCATAAAGCTCACACAAAACCCTCTTAATGACTTTAGGTTGGGCAACAATTTTTTTTTGCACCGGTGCCATTTCCTAACTATCTACGCCGCTGCTTCTTATACAACAAGAATTGTTGGAAAAGGAAAGGAAAAGGAAAGGAAAAAAAAGATGACAGCGCATTTGAGCACAACCCTTTTTAACCGCTATGCTCCGGATTTCGTAATTTTTTGCGATTACGCTTTTGGAAAAATTCGCACGAATTAAAATTGTGTGCACTCTGGTTTTCGTAACTTTTTCCGATCGATAGTGTTTCATTCCCAAATTATTGCGAAAGTTGTCTTGAAAAAAATCTCTGTTTGGTTTGAAAATGGAAATATTTTAGTTAAATATACCATCGTTTTGGCAATCGCATTATAAGTTACCCAAAACAAAACAAAAGTTCGGTAAATTAAGAAAAGACGATATTTTTCCCCATGCGATATTGATATCACTATTTTTTCGGTGCGGAAGGTGCGGAAAAATGATGCGAGGCTTTTACACCAAAGCCGCATCTTTTTCGAAGCATCTGTCAGCTGTTCGGCCTACTACTTCAAAAGAGTAGAGAGAGAGTACAAAAAGAAGAGAGCAAAAGCATTTTTATTGAAATTTAAAGAAATTATCAAAATAATGAGCGATTTATTCTTAAGTATGGAAAACGGTGCATTTGGGAGTATCACTACGAGCACCCAATAAGCCCGAATAATTTCAGTATTTTGTAAAAATACTGGACAGAATACGGCAACACTTGCCAATGAAGCGCCGCATGATTAAATATACGGCCACATCATTGTCTTCTTCTATCCACAGGGCCTTATGGGCACCACTGTCGCATGTTCCATTTATCGGAAAAATACAATGTTGCAGGCCGGTGTAATAAGGCTATTAGGTTTATTTTGCTAAGGTTAATGTTAATAGCCTTTTTACACTGGGCGCGTCTGCTGTCGATATCGGAATAGACGCAATGAAGTAGAAAAGACGTTTAAATTGGCAGACGTGCGTCTTGAATTTTGATTTGGGTGCTTGATGACAAGGAAAGAAAGAAAAAAAAGAACATGGACGAAAGAGAATTGATTCTCATATTTATTTATTATTTTCAGACATTTCTTTTTAGAATTTGTGGGAGTTCTTCTTCAAATTATGAAAACCATCGAAGTTCGTCTCCAGCAGTGTCTTAATGGCATCAAGGGGTCCCAAAAATTTCGTATGATAATAATACAATCAGTTTTAAGTATTTTATTTAATGATTTCATGTATATTTTCGCCTCTTTGCACAACCATACATTTTTAGCGCCAAAATTTGATTTTTAATCTACATTTTTTTGTTGTTATTAGTGGTGATAGTTGCGCTGATAGCCAGAAAAGTACAAAAATGTGCTGTTAATCGCAAAAGCAATCGAACATATCGAATAGACACTTATGAATAAGAGACCGACGCAACTTTTAACCACCTCTTATGCTTCACCTATGAAAAAAAAAGTGCGTCTCCGGCAAAACGCAAAAAAGCATGACGCTGCACCAATGTAAACAGCCTATAAATTTGGTCCTTTAGAAATGAATTTATTAAATACATAAGGATATACGAAAATTAATATTTTATTACATAAATATAAACTTAAAAGATCAGCCGAGATGTTTATATTTATCAGGGCAACAACAAATAGTGGATTCATTCGAACAGCTGTGGCAGGCCGAATTGGCTATCGATAAGTCTCTGTCATTTAGGGTCAGGGTCATTTAAGTGATTATTATATTATATTATGACATTAAGAGTTTGACCGAACAATAATAGAGGCCTTTTGTATAAGCTGGAACTAACGCGTTGGTACAACAGAAGTACATTTTGCGCTTAACTGTACAGGGAGTAAATAAATCGACTTTTGTGGATTCCAGAGCGCCTTGAATATAGTTATATTGAGGAAAACGCTCCTCGATCAAACAATTATGTTTAACAGAGACTTATCGATAGCCAATTCGGGCTGCCACAGCTGTTCGAATGCAGGATGTTCAAGGATCGGGGTGTGTCAATCTCCAGTGAGCTAATTATACTCGGTGCGAAGAAATTTGCTGTAATCCAAGAATAATGCGAAAGTCGTGGGGGTTCAGTTGAGTACTAGCCAATAACTATTTATTCGGTTTCTAAGTGCATGAGCACTGAGCATAAGCGGGCTTCTAATGGGGTGAATTCAATTACAAATTTAATGCAAGAGCGTAGCAAAGAGAGTAAGAATGAGCGTAAGGTACTACAACGCGAGGGTCATTTAAGTGATTATTATATTATATTATGACATTAAGAGTTTGACCGAACAATAATAGAGGCCTTTTGTATAAGCTGGAACTAACGCGTTGGTACAACAGAAGTACATTTTGCGCTTAACTGTACAGGGAGTAACTAAATCGACTTTTGTGGATTCCAGAGCGCCTTGAAATCAAAAGTATGAATTTTTGTTGAAAAATAAAACGCAAAATTAATGTGAAAACCGGAGCCTGCCTGAATATACATCTTTTATTATCAATTTGGTTTATAGTGGTGATATTTATAACAGGATTCTATGCAGCATCAATGGCAAATATAATTGACTTAGACCCGAATTATTGTCATTCTGCTGCCATAATAGCATTCTGGCAAACTATTCATATGTCCACGTGTTTTATTTCACCATTAACAGCTTGATTTATTGTAACTCGAGATGTGAATTTTAATATATATATTCTATATATATAAAAATGTTTTGTTTGTACCTCCAACATCTATGCATTCGAAAAGTACAGAACCGTTTGATCCCAAATTTATACAAACTATAGAGTCAGCTTTAAATTTTTTTTTTATTTACTTAAGCATAGTATCCAGCAGTACGGAATCGAAAAATTCCTGTCAAACTCAATATAAAAAAAAACTGTGACAGGAATGTTTCGTTTACGTTTTCCTGGAGTGTGTATCAAGCAACACGAGCGGAATTCACAGGTTTATATCGATAGTTGCCTATCGGGACCGTGTGTAGACTCAGAGAAGACCTGATACCCAGCTCAGGAATATATACTTTACAATTTTTCCTGAAGTGAATGGTGCAAGATGTAGGCAAAAACTGTCCGCAAAACTAAAAAGAGAAATGCAAATTATTCTTTTTTGTTTTGCAACAATATATGCCGTCACCAACACAATCACTTCATCATCAGAGTGCATTTTTTTCCTTTTTTAATATTAGCAGAATTTTACAGTTGCCTCTGTTTACAAAACACATCTGATTCATCAACCCTGTTTTAGCTATGTTCCACATCCTCACGGAATAACTAGCAAATTCCTTGCCGCAATTTTCCGCGGTGCTGGAGACAGGCCTTTATGTGAATACAAGCAACCGAAGCTCGGAAAATTTAATAAGCTCTGCACACTTAGCCCCCTGGGGAACGGTGTGAATTTTGCAAGATGTGAAACAGCGATTCATACTGGCACCACCGACCATCCATGAAAAACAGTTGGATGAGCATAAAATAACTAAGATTTGTTCGGAAAATATTATTGTTTATTAAAAAAAAGAATAGATAATAATTTGGCAATTTTGTTGGATGTCGTTCAACACCAACTTAAAATTAGTTTGCTAAACTTAATAATGTTGTTACAAATTAATGAGTCAAAAATAAATGAATACGACGAGGCTCCATCTCCATTAAAAAAATTCCAATAGAATCCATTCGAATTGAATTGAGTTGAGTTATTGGCACACACACAATGAATTGAGTTTATACGAAAGGGAGTGTGTGTGTGCCTCAGACCCCTGCAGTTCCAAAAGTCACTTTTCACTTGTGATTCATTCGGTGAATCACTCATGGCATGTCCTTATCCTGTGATGACTCACGTTTGAAACTCCAGATGAAATTTGATGAAAATGGGCATGTCCGCTTTTGTCACTCGTGAAACTTCATATGAAATTTTCACTGAATTTTCTAGTTATTTCACCGGTGGCTTATACGTATATGCCATGAGTGAAATCACCCGGGACACTTTCGAAAATGTCCTATATGAAATAACCTGTGAAACTTCTCATGAAATTAAAAGGAATTTCACGGATAATTTCATATGAAAAAGAAACCCAAACATAAGAGTAAATATTTTTACACCGATTTTCTAGATTTTTTGTTGATTTAAATATTTTCAATTATCTGTAGTGCCGACTTGATCGGGTTAATAAACACCAATGCTCCTGAAATGAAATAGGCCGGCGGGGCATTTTAAACATTTTATTGCCTCAAATTCCGTTTAGGTTGTACTCCTGGACTACTGTTTCGTCCAGCACACTTTTGAGGCACCTAGACATTGGGTCCTTCTCCAGCAACTTCCGAACTTTTTTGGATCTGTAAATAAATAGGTCAAATTGCATATATATTTAAAAAAATTAAAAATCCAATATTTACAATTACATGGGTTTCCTCGAACAAAAAAAAAAAAAAAAACGCGCAGCGACACGCTCGGCTAACCACGCGGCTAGAATGTTCTAGAATCTAGACATATTTTTTCTAGCGAAACAATGAAACAATTTAATTTAACTAACAACGCACACTGTAATCACTGAACGTTCCCTGCAACTCCTCGATCTCCTCCAACCTTACCACGAGCATATAGTAATCGCAAGCCGACAATTCATTCCCCCAAGTGGCGCTCAATCTTTTGAGGCCTTCGCACAATTTGTCTGGACGTTGATATGCAATGACTGCACCATTAAGTGGCCCATGCGACACCAAGCCGGAGCCTGTTACGGGCGGAACGCAGGCAGAAACGCAGCCCCTCCTCCCGCCCAACATTACATGCGCTGCCGCGTGACGTGCGACGCATGTTATCGAACCGATCGCGAACATGCAGGAACTAGAGCTAAACACAACTAAAATAGCTAAACATTCAAAGATAGCTAAAAAATGTTAGTATTAACGATTTAAGAAGAGGAAGGGAATTTGTGGTGGATATTAAAATACTCTTGCTCTTGCTAAAGCCGGTCGTCTTTTTACCTCGCTCGTGCATTTTCTGCCTTTTTTGCCAATTTAAATCTAAATTAATTACAACTAATTGTGTACATCTTTAAACTCATCATAATTGATCCTTATTTGGGCCAATTATCTGTGTTTCGCTAGTTAACAATTGAGTTAATAACAACTTTATATTCCGAACGTGAAACAGACTTGCGCAAGCAATTTGTTAGTGCTTTTATCCATTCCGCTTTGGATCATTGTTCTCTGTGCTCACCGTTCGTGCGCTTCATCCGTTGCATCGCCTATGAATACACGCTCTGGAGAGCATAGTGCAAGCTCTCTTGCTCTCACTCTCTCTGCATCTGCTTCTTCTTAAATAGTTCTCACGGTGCCTCTGCTTACGTGAGCTTCACCGTTTGTTTTCATCACTTCGCTGGATCGTCTGCAGCTGCTACTGATCGTCGCTTACTCTGCTGCCTGCTCTTTTATTCGCTTACGCTCCCACTTTGCGTTTTCCTTCGAGCACAGTGATTCAATTGCTGTCAAAAATGGCAGTTGTCTGTAGTGCAAAGAAATGCCAATTCGGTGGCAACATAGTCAGCGATTCATTCCTCAGCTGCTGGCAATGCGACAATGTTGCCCATATAAAATGTGCTGGTGGTGGTAATTTTGTACGGCTACACGATCTCATCTCACAACGTATGGGTCTGACTTGGTCATGTTTGGCCTATCGGGAGATTGAGGCCGAAATGCGCACTTTTATGAGACAGATTCGTACTGGTTTTCAGGATATCCGGAAGCAATTTATCGCTCTCAACGAGAAGTTCCTGACCCTGGAAACCCAATTCCTTGGCCTCAAACTCTTGAGTGAATCTCCATACGGAAAATCCCTCATACCGATAACAACAACCTCTTGCAACCTATTGGAGTTGGAACACCCGCTTCTCATCTACATACATCGGAATTCTTTGCTACTCTTAGCGGTCATGCCTCGCCGTTAGTCAATCCGTCATCAGTCGCTCCGGTGTATCTTACACCGAATATCAATGATGCAGTTACATCCATCACTGTCGCCGCTGTGAGTTCTCCCAGTGGTGACGTGCTTGCTGCTGATGATGTCCCCATTGTTCCATCGTTTCTGCCACGAGATCTCTTTTGGGAGTGGCTCCACCTTCGCTCTCTCGCTCGGGACTTCAACTAAGAGCAGTGGTACCTCGAAAGGCTATCTTTGTCTCCCGTCTTATACCGGAGGCTACAATAGAGGATGTTAAACAACATCTTTGCTCTAGACTTAACGTCTCGCTTAATGACATAATTGTGACCAAATTCGCAATATTTCCTCCTTTAAGATTCTTCTTCCTGATTCTTTACTATCTAGATCACTTGATCCGTCTATTTGGCCTGAGCATATAATTATGCATGACTTCATACATAAAGACTCTATCCAGAGTCCCAATATTACTGTCCCTGGTAGTTCAAAAAACTAAATAACCTTATTATCACTCATTACCAGAACGTACGCAGTCTGTTAGGCAAAATGTGTCAAATACATACGAATAGTGCCACTTTTGACTTTGACGTTGTCGCTTTAACTGAAACTTGGCTTAACTCTTCCGTCTATGATCATGAAATTATAGTTCCTAAGTTAAGCACTAATAAAATGGACCGTCCATCTTTTGCTGGTGGGGTTCTGATTGCTGTTAAAACGGATTTCTCATCCGAGTTGGTCCCATTCAACAATATCTATGGCATTGAATTCACTGCAGTCAAAGTTTGTGTTGGATCGGTATCGATCTATTTGACTTGCATTCCTCCCAAATCAGAGGCTGAGGCTTACTCATATCACCTTTCTGCAATTCAGACTATTGTATCTACTTTAGGTTGCAATGATCATATTATTGTCATAGGTGATTTTAACTTACCACTTCTTTCTTGACTGCCTAGTGATGAGTCTAACCTGTTGCTACCTAATCACCACAACGATTTTATCGACGGGCTTACCGATGTCTCCCTTGTCCAAATCAATTCAATAAGAAAGGGATAGACTCTTAGACCTTATGTTTGTTTGTGATGCTGCACCAGCTACGGTCTCCAGAGTAAGTCCAGTATCACTTCCTGAAGTGATCACCTGATTCCTACCATCCAACTTTAGCTATATCCCTTGAGTTTGTCCGATCCAGTTGTGCTACCAATTCCATGGCACCCAGCCGCTTAGTGTTTTCGGAAAACAAATTTTGCTGAGCTAAGTTTTTACCTCTCGCAAGTTAACTGGTCTTTTCTCCACGCGTTACATAACATTGACGAAACAGTCAATTCGTTCTATGATACTATTAACGACGCCATTAAAATATATATTCCTGTTATCAAATCTGTTCCCTCAAAACCTCCCTGGTTCTCCAAGAATTTGTCCTATTTAAAGAATAGAAAAACTAGGCTCTATAAAAAGTATCAGAATACTGGATCTATGTCTGTCTTCACCCAATATTCCTCTGTTCGTTATCAATTCCTGACTGTTAATAGTCTGTGTTATAGTCAATACCTTTCTCGGTGTAAAAAAAATTTCCGTAGTGATCCAAAAAAAATTAAAGCAAATCAAAATATTCTGCTGCTGGTATTGCAAATTTATTTGCCACCTTCTTTCAATCAACGTACTCGTCACATATCTACCACGCATCCACTCCGTATCCCTACCATTTACCTCATGCCAACAGCATTTTTCTGCCCTTCTTTGCGGAAAGTGAGGTTCTAGATGGTTTGTTAACGATT